TTTTTTTGTACACATATTCCGGTGTTTTGTGCTTCTGATCGTGGTGGATTGTACTATTTAAACTGCACTATCGTAACTCCATAACAGTTAGCGTTTTATGTGCACTCTGATATTTCCCAGTACATACAATGGCATAGCTATTTTGGTCACTTGTGTTGGTATGCGTAAGCTGGTATTATTTTTGATTTTTAAATTGCAATCTGAAGTGAAAGGGAAAATGTGTAAGTTTATTAATTTTGTTGTAAGACAAAGGCTGACAAATTTACCGTCAGATAATGGTACTGAATTCGTAAATCAAGAACTTGATGACTATTTGCCTAAGGCATTAAGTCCGCCAATGTACTTTTTTGTGCATGAAGAATTAAATAAATAAATAAAGGTGCTTTACTGGCGGAGACAGCGCTACTGAAGGTGTAGTGGTAGAATGTCGTTGATTATTCAGACTACTTGAAAAATAGATCACCGCATCGTGTTTTGGAAGGAGTGACATCTTTTCAAGTTTGGTATAATAAAAAACCAGATCTTAGTCAAATGCGTACAAAAATAAATTTAAAAGCAACAGAACATAATATTTGTTGGATATTCACAAGATCCACACAGTTATCTCTTCCGTGTAATTAAATATCCTAGAAGATTGGTTAAGGCAAGAGATATCACGTTTTTTGAGAACTGTTTCACAGATCTAAAAACGAAATGTGATGATGAGAGAATATTCTATTGTTATTGTATTCAGATAATGAGTCTCATACACGACTAAGCTGTTCAACCTGAGTCAGGAACTTCTAATCAGGTACCTGATGTACCTATAGTTTCTTCCACTTCAAATGAAGATGATGCCATTGAAGAAACATCTGATGGTATGGAGATCGAGGCAGCTGGTACGAGCCATGTGGCCATATATGCACAATGTGAGCGTAGAAGACCAGACTATCTCAATTTTGATGCTTGGGTAGCAAAATTGGGTGAAGATGTTGCTGGAGAACCTAAAAGATATGCAGAAGCTGATCTCTGATGAAAGGAGTAACTGGATTTCAGCCACGAATGAAGAGTATCAATCTCTGCTACCAAGGGAAACTTGTGGGTTCTTGTAAATCGGCTGATTGATGTTAGAATAATTCTCTGTAAATGGGTGTATAAGGTGAACCGAGACGCTGAGGGTTACGCTATTAGATACAAGGCAAAATTGGTTGCAAAAGGATTTACACAGGCATTTTGTCATTGCGTACGCTGTTTGCTCTAGCAGCTGAATCACATTTGAAGATGCATCATTTTGATGTGGATACTACTTTCCTTGATGATATTGTTGTATTCTATAAAGACGTATGAGTATTTTCACTCATAGATTTAGTTGAATTAAATTTCTATTTAGACTTTAATATTAGCAAACAAAAAGGATACAGCGTACATTTATCACAAAGTTCAGTTAAAATAAATACGGAATGCAGGAGGCAAACCTGCTCCAACTTTATTAGCACAAAATACTGTGCCAATGGAATATGAGCAGGTGAATGGAAATGTGTGATAAAAGTGAGCTTTGATTGATTCGATATTGCGTTTGCTCTATTCTCAATAGAGGCCGAGTATTTGACTTTATGCTCTGGTAGCAAAGAAGCTGTGTTCTTTTGTTGGGCTCAAAGAACGATCGAATGACTGACTTTTTAATGATTATGATGTACATAGATTGTTTTTATACTCTTGCTATTTAACCAGAATGAATGTGGTAGATGTTTTATTGCAAATCAATGATGATATTATATGATTTAGCGGGAACCGACTGATAAAATTCTATTTATAATTACTAATCTTATTAAGAGTTGTTTTGAAGTACAGTTACATTTTCACCGGTTTTGATTCATCCCGAATAAATGCAATCACGAGATGTTGATGCAAAATAATTAAATTATAATCATATTTGTTAGATAAATTAATTTGAGAATACTATTGAACGTTTACTATTGAGTATATTGAACGTTTCATAACATTCATTAGAAAGATAAATTATAAATAGAACTATTCTCTTTACATAAGGCTATTAAATAATCTTTATTATTAGTTTTCCACTTTGGTATTTTATTAATGATTTTCAAAAACATGTATACTAAACTTAATATATTTTTTTAATAGTTATTAATTTAATCAATTGAATTTGGAGAAGGTCAGTAGATTAGCGCGCGTTGTTGAATCTCGAAAAATTTCGGCTTACATATTTGAAGTTTTACATAATTATGTAAAATGCTGTTTTGTTGTGACTATTTGACTATTGCAGTTAATAGCCTTATTTCATACGTCATTATTGAAGCCAACCATTTTTAAACGGTTTTATCGCCAAAGCTTGCCTTGTTTATTTGTTTGTTTTGGTCTTCTTCTTCTTTTTAATTAATGACCTATCTGCGTATTTCGCACAATTCTGCCAATGTCAAGTAAATAAATTAATTTTTGAAAATAAAATGAATGAAAGATGGCGATGATCTCCCGGTGCAAATCCTTTGTTTTGGTCAAAACTAGTCATTGTAATTTGACACCCTTCCTGTTGACAGATTGATCTGGAATTTGGTACATTTCTTTAGTTCTGGTGACAATACATTTAAATGAGTTGTTTCAAGATGGCCGCAAGTTCAAATTGGCGCTTTACAATTTTTGTCCCGATTACTTCAATATTTCGGCCTAACAAATGAAAGGGCTTGATTAGTAAAACATAGTTCACTATTAAAAAAATATTAAACATCCAAGATGGCTGTTACAAAGTGGTGGTTTACACATTTTGTCACGACTACCACTAGGGGTATCAAATGCAACGGTATGACTAGTAGAATACAGTTCACTATGAAAAATATTAAAATCCAAAATGGTCGTCAACATAATGACCAGTTACATATGTTTTCACATCACCGTCAATACGAGTATCAAATGTGAGGGTTTGACTAGTAGAACACAGTTCAGAATGTATATTAAAATCCAAGAGGGACGTTAACAAAATGGCCTGTTATCTTCTATACGGCTTCAATCTGCGTGTAGCCATCTTGACGAAGCTCACATGCTTCTCCCAAGTTCTTGGGGAAACGTCGCTGTTGACGCCAACTTCTGCTATAGCTTACAAAGTATTATTCGCTCCGATGAAGGTGATACCATTATTCGAGACTACTGACAATAAAACAGACGGAAAGTGCGATAACAGTGGTTTCTCACGTCTCCTGCCGATGGTGATGTGAATCGATTTCGGATAATTGAGTCCAAAACAGGCGACGGTGCCAATCCATAAGGGGGCAAGTCGCAAATAGGGGGCATAGTCGTTTTAGATCTATGAAGCACACCAAAAACAGCGCTGTATTTCATCTAGGTATGAAATGAGTTTAAAGAAGTCTTCTTCAATAAAAAAAATAATCATATACGAGTAGTTAAGAACTACTTTATTCTTTCAAATCTTTAACTTAGCGAGAAGTTGCTTTTATTTTTAAATAAATGTACGTACATACAGCAGCATATCAGCTTAATACAAATTCAACGGATTCAATCCTAATTTTTACGGTATATGTGATATGTGGGAAATTGTCTTTATGTAGTAATCTGACATTCTGTCGACTGTACACTATCGATCTTCGTATACCAAAAAGTGGCTTGTTGCCAAACCAATAAAATGCAATATAGAATCCACAGACTAGGTTAAAGAAAAACCATTCACTCAGTAATTTGTGATTTGCGATGATCGATTTAGTAAATACCAATGCGCATAATGCATTTGGCATTATCTTATCGAGAATATAAGAGGGAATCACGAGACAATGATATAAAAAGAGACAGACGATATTGTGAATAAAGTGGAAAGTTTTCTTAAAATTTCGTTGGAAAAAATTTTGCATATTCGATAGTTGGATACGCATGAAATAACATGCAATCGTACAATTCAAAATCACACACACACACCCAAACTCACACGCGCAAACCCGCACTATTTTCCACATTCCGTCTATTTGTGTATTTTTAATTGTTTATAACTTTACCATTATTGAAGACCTTTAGCTATGGAAGAGAGGCTCTTTCTGGTACAGGTGTTATGAACTTAAAAGTAAGAGTCAACCTTTATATGTTAAAATCTTTCTGGTAAAGAAACAAATTTATTTTATTTATTTTGATTTTCATCGTAAGAAAACGATATGAATTATGATAGTTAATTTAGTTTATGTAGTTGAATTTTACGAGGAAAGTAATTATATATCATGGTTAGGCATTTATTTATGATTATTAACTATAGATTATTCGGGTTTTATTTATCTTTACCATAGTTATTTATTCTATTCATTCTCGGTACATTTTTATAAAATATTTTTGATAAAAGGAAAACGATTTTTATCAACACGCTAAATTGTAATAAGATAAGATTGTCACCTTATTTTCAGAATATGGTTTCAAGAATATACAAAACCTTGAAATTATGACGTATGTTTTAAGTTGATCGTCTATTTGTAATTTATATTCATTATTGCATTTGAATAATGTATATAATCTTATCTGATAATTATTAAGGCTTAGATATATGTAGATATTGTAAATGATGTACGGAAAAGAGTGGCAAGGATAACTAACGCTACTATCATTATAATTTTTATTTGTTTTTATAATATGTTAAAAAATATAGTTAAATATTTTAAAGTGCGACAGACAGATGTTTGTATCCAAAGTCAAATGTTTATAAAGACTATTATAAAAAATGTAGTGTATATGAGGAACTTTGACCACTAAAGTGTTATCAAAACATTTTTCTATTATCTAATCATCTAAATATATTGTTAAACATTATCATCAAACGATAGCTATCTAAAGCCATAATAGTGATTTGCAGTCTGGTCATATAGACATGTTGGAATAAAATCTAACAACCGATGTATGCATTTGATAGGTTTCATACTATAAGTAAGGGTTGAAGCATTCAGAAACAGCAGGAAATAGATACTAGACACTTTATGTTTTAATAATTTGTATATTGGTATGAATGTAATATTACATATTATAGCAATTATTATCTTACAGGTAACAGAAATAAATATTCTTTTGTTTACATATTGCTACATATTGCTAATTTTCCAAATCTTATAGGTTATTCTATCCACAATAGCACTTTCCGAGAAACTGATCCATTTTCATTCTTATTCTGTTATATCTACACCACAACCAAGAATAATTGGTAACACTACACCCGTTTACACTATCTGTACAAAAGGAAATATCAGTACAATGCTTAATATGGTTAGATCAGGGACATATTCAATTGTCCCCGCGCCATCTAACAAAAGGCGAGCAAAAAACAAATTGACCGGCGCACCGCAAATTGTCCGTTGACGCATTTCAGCACATAATTTGGCTAAAGCTTCTCCCGTCTCGACATTTACGTATCAAAGGCATATTTTTATATTTTAAGCCCGTGTTCCGACAAATGGCAAGTTGCCATAACAAAGTTTATTCGATATTCTTCATTATTGGAGCTACCCTATTCTCTGAGGGAAGAATGATTGAGACTTGGTTTGAGGTGGTGGCGTCGCTGGAATGTCATGATGGGGCTTCAGTAGGCTGGTACTGTCCGTATCATGGTTAGTATGGTTGTCCTTCTTCTGTGTATTACTTGATGGTGTTATGTGTAACTGGGGTAGCCGATTGTTAGGGCACACCGGTGGTCTATCTGATTTTGGTTGCATGTTGTCTGAAAGGAGAAAAATATTTTTTTAGAAAAACACTTTATGATGGGGTTGGCATGTCCAAGAGGATAAAAACTCCTTCAAATAAAAGAAATTAAAATTACACTACTCAAGCCAGTGATTCTATGTTTTTATAAGAAGCATAAATCAAGAAGAAAAAGAAACTACTCAAAAACCGGCTATCACAATTCAATTAAAAACGAATAGTTATTATTGATATTGAGTAGACTTTTTTAACTAACTAGATATCTAATCAAAAATAAATCCAATGAACTCACCTTTTATATCCAAGCGAATGTGTTCCAATCTAGTACTGATAACTTCAAGACCGTTTACAAACATTTAAATGCAATTAAAAATATATCAATGTTCCTCGCGCAATGGTCCGGTACGGATTGTGGCTTGTAAAGCAAATACTGCCGTTTTATATGATGGCTGAGTCACATTTGGCAAAGAAACTCTCTATCGCAGTCCACGTCACTAGCACTGACGCGAGATATAATGACGCCAGTCGGACCGCGCTACGTACTACATTCGCGATCTTAGCCGTAGAAGAGAATTATGGTTTTTATAATAATTTTAATCTCTTGCACACACTTGAATTTTGAACTCGCAGAGATACGACCACGACTCGCCGGTGATTCATTATAAGTAGATTTCCAAAAAAGCATTTACGGAGGCGCGCCTCTAATTAGATGCCGCATTGGTCAGTGATTTATCAATTCACTTAAGGAATATGTTGAGTCACTTATGGCCACTTATGCGTTTACATATGACGTTAGTTTAAACTAGCAATAATGTACACGATTCATATATGCGTAAGCGGTTCAATTAAATTTCCATTCCGAGTATACAATGATTTATCTATGTTTTTATCGGCCAGGGGAGTCATTTTAAGAAGTCTGTGTTCTTCTTAGTAGAACAATTAGTAAATTTTACCACTTCATAAGATAGTGGTGTAAATTTTGTTTTCCTAGTCTCTAAACTATAATTACTTATTTTAATTTTTACCGTTACTAGTTACATGTAACCGAAGAAATATAATTACACTCCTGTATTTCATAATATAATATTTTTAATCTATCTTAGGTATTTTTACAATAAAAAATGCAGTTTGACACGATTTAACAGTGTGCTTAACGGAAACTTAGTCTAGTTTGTGAAACAGTAAGTTTTATTGCATATTTGGCTATGATAATAATCTGCCAACTTCAAAAGGAGGAGTTTGTGACGATATACAAAACTGCAAGGGCTTTTCGTATACGATAAACGATATAAACGATCGTTTATCGTTTACGAACCTATGCAATAACCGTACAAACTTACTTCGTAACGCAAAAACGAAGGTCTATTAGATCTATTTCTGATCCGTGGATAGCATTAGGTCGTACTTTGATTGTTTATACTTTTCATGTAATTATTAGATTGATATTGGTATTTAAATGTTATAACTTGTTCATTTTAACCGTGAAATTAGTGATGGTTATGGGAATGTTAGCATCACGCGCTAACCTATTATTTTTGATTTACATTCAAAAGTATGAAAAGCGTTTGACTTGGATTAATAACTACATGGAGTTATTTACAACTCAAAGAATTTTCTGTATACTTCATTATATTAAATAACCTTCGAAATTTTTTTTTGTTTGATCGGCACATGACGAATGAAGGTTAAAATATGTTTTTTTTTTACTCTCACGATGATATCAATGTTTATTTAATACATAACATCAAATTTGATGCTTACACGGTGAAAAACTGTTTTTATTTTCTACTTTACCCATTTCGGTAGTAAACGGGGATCTTATATCGTCATACCTCGCCATTAGTTTTCCTTACGTGAATAAAAAGCTATAAAAACTAACGTGCCTACAGTGTTGACTATCAAATATATCACAGAATCGTTAGGTATACACATAGATTTATGTGTATACCTATATCTTTGAAATATGACAATTGTTACAATCAGTTGCCAAGCCGTTTAATTCTTGCGTCAAACAAATGTTACAGGATGTGAAACTCGGTCGACTGTTCTATTAACAATGGACAATAATTATTTTCCCTTCCCTACAATAGAGAAAACCGCTATTTAATGTTTTTACTACGTCCAATATTGGGTTTATTTACAACGTAAATATAAGTAACTATTGTATTGAAATCCTGCGACATACCCAAGTCGTATACAATGACAAGAAGTAAAACACGAGTTGTAAAATTTATGATGTCATTATTCTATTACATGCAAGTAATTTAAAACTGTCATAAACAAAAAAACAATTAACGTGTACTTAAACTATTATTTTCAATATACATATATTGAAAATTAATTAGTTTCTCTCACCATACTTACCTATTTGTTAATATTCTTAGAAAATATAAAACAAAATGGCTTCCCGCTTTGTGTATATTGAGATCTTTTAAACTTTATAACGGATTTTACTCACTATCTATAGAATGCGGTTTTCATCGATATAGAATAAAGAGAATTAAAGAGAAGAAGAGTTTTTTATATATAATACAGGGCCTGATAATTTACTGGCCCAAATTTAATGCACAACGCTTAAAATACCAACAAATATTTATATTCATTAATAGTAACAAACCAACAAAGAAATAACAATCGAGTCATACATAAAATTCATCGGACAAATTATAACTTAAAATATTTTAATAAAGAAATCTCATAAGTATCATGATAACAACAGTATATAACTAAACAATAAAAACATTGGGTAAACATCTGCTCGTAAAGCAGAAGAGATTTATTCATCTATAAAAAAACTTCAGGATCACGTGAGCGAAATCGCTGGCAGCAATCTATCTGATAAATAATATAATATATTTTTTTATTTCATTGAAATATTGTGTAAAAGGATATGAAGTTTGAAATTAACTTAGATGAGAAGGGCAAGATTACATAATCAAGTTTCTATAAGACTTTGTTATTTATCCATCATCCGAACACATTTTCCAGATAGAATAACTGCTAATTTTGTACCACGATTTGCAATATCCACAATCATAATATATCATAATCAAACCAGCATTGATTGAATGATTCTGTCTTTCATTTTCACCAAAGTTTGCGTTTTCTACTTTTTGTGATTATTTCAATTAACTATGTTCTAGTATTTCAAGTTTTTACTTATGAAACATCGAACTATTACTTAGATGATTACTTATTAATGGCGATGCCATTTAGTTCGTTTTCTCATTTCGCCGTAATACTTACTGTACTTTTAAAATGTCGCAATAAAGATTTATAATAACACTGACGTTGATGTAATTTTATAGTTAATACGAAAATATCTTAATCGATTTAAGTATAAAATTCCAATAAACGATTGGCTCCATCATCTTTATTATCATCTAGTCGAAAGTCACGCGATGAATGTCCTTCGTTCTTCAGTTTGCATTGAAAATCCATGAAATAGGCACTTATCCTTTATCAATCGGAAACCCGTCGTATCTTTGTTTCTAAACAATCAAAAATCGACAATTATTATTATATATTTAAATTCATTTATTGATTTTTGATTACTGTTTTGTTTGCGTCGTACTTCTTTCGTGGACATGTTAATTATATAAATAACGAACAGCCTCAATCACGTGTTTCGTTATTGGTTTCAATGTTTTTATTCTAGAAATTTTGATCTCAAAAATATATTTTATGGGCGCCAATAAACTGTGATTAACAACGATGAATCAAATGAGCATTATGACGAATGACTATGGACATTCATTTTTTTAAATAGAGCTAGCACTTTTCTACGACAGAATTAAAATAATACTATTGCTGTTCTATGTTCTATTTTCGTCGAAATAGCAAGGCGAGATTAATAAAAAAACTGGCCAAGTGCGGGTCGGATTCCGAACCGGGAACGAACAGAAAACATGTCTGTTGTAAGGAAACCTCTTAAATATTTATTTAATTCTGGTTTTTAGTATTTGTTGTTGAAGCGATAACATAAATACATCATCTGTGAAAATTTCAACTGTCTAACTTTCTCGATTCATGAGATACAACCTGGTAGAGACGGACAGACAAACAGACAGCGAAGACTTAGCAATAGGGTTCCCGTTTTACTAACGTGTGAAAAGATCGTATTCCGTAAAATTAAGCACGTGTCAAACGGCTCTTAAACTATCTAAACCGTCACATAAACAGTGATCTTTTTTTTAGTGATCAGTTGATAGCAGTTTGATAAAACTAGGACTTTTTGTCATGTGAAACGTAAAAAGCTTAAGTTATTGATTTTGTACTTTTCTCAATTCAGAAACCGACCGTATAAGTTTTTATTTTTTTTGCATAGTAGGTATTATAATATCTGTATTGTAACCTAGTTCAATACCCTTAATTCCTAAATTCGTTTGGAGGGTTTTTATTTATTTGAGTCATACGTTAATTTGAGGGTTATCGACTTCTAAGTATCTATTGGATGTGTACCTCAATCGATCCAGTGGTTTCGGAGCAGATTATCAGTGACTTGACTTGATTGATGGACAGACGGATGGACAGAATGGCCCGCGAGTGGTTCTATAAGGGTTATTTTTTTTTTGGGGTACAAAACTCTAAAAATGATAGACTGGTTGTTGGTTTGTGTGAAAATTTGATCAATTACAATTTCTTATGGGAAATATGGAAATTGAACTTCTCCTTTCGTGTTATATGAAATGCCGAAATGGTAGGCAACTTAGAAACAACTTACATTTTACTAACATTATTAATGCGAAAGTTAGTGAGTTGTTACTCTTTCACGCAAAAAGTACTAAACGTATATCGATCAAATTAGGTATACGGACATTTCTAAGCCTTAAATAAGATACATACATAAGATACATATATGCTATTTATCCTACTAAATGGTTCACCAGAGACCATGCGAGTGAAGCCACAGGAGGAAAACTAATTTCTTAAAAAATTACCAGCTAAAATAATCCCGTTAAGGACGAGGACATTTCGAAGTTTAGCTAAAGATTTTAAGAATGTTAGCGTAACATTTCGAACCCAATAGGTTTATAAATCAATATCGGCAGACCTTGTACTGAAAAAAATAATCAAGAAAGGATATGGCAATGAGTAAGAACACTGCGAATTTCTTGTCTCCAAGCAATATTATTGAATATTGAGATATATATACCAACATTCTTATATCTCTGTTTGAATTACGTACATTTCACTGAACACAATTTTCATGAAAATAGTTCACTATAAAATTGTCGATTAAATACAAACATTTGCCATTAATATTACCAAATTGTGACGCCAATGAAATTTCTTTGACGCAGTTATATTTCTTTCTTATCGATCTTTCGTAACATACACTAACGGGTATTATGAATATGAAAGGAGAGTTCCTCCTAGCTTATATTAGCTACTAGTAAGAGCGAGTAAGTATTACATTATGTCATCTCAAAATAAAATGAACGCATATCCAGACTAATACTTTATGTTTTAAACGAGCAATTCTTGTATGTGTATATAATAACTGTTTTCCC